CCCCGGCCCCCAGGACCGCCGCCAGGGCCCCGGGGCCGGGGCTCGACAACCCTGGAGGTGTTTGCTGGTGGTTGTTCACTTGCGAGGTTGCGGGCGATGCTATCGACTGAGTCGGTGTGGATGTCAGACATGTTGATGGAGGATGCGGTCATGTCGGGGGAAGAGGGGGTGGAGGATGCCGCAGCAGCGGTGGCAGCGGCAGCGTCGGCGGCGGCACATTGGGAGTTTTTGGTTTGGCGTGGTGGCAGGTGGGAATGGGGGGACAATTCCTATTTACAGGAATAGAGCGTAAATTAATTTGAATTTATTCGAAACTGATTTGCAAGTGTATTTTTCAAGAAAATACGAAAGCAAAATTTTCAGGAATTTCCAAATGAAGAAAAAGAATAATTCATTCCGAGAAAAATAAATTTCTACGAAACTTATTCGGATTTGCGTTCAGGGTAAAATTTTATAATTTTGAAAAGGGGTGATTACTTCCGAGTAAAAGAGATTAATTAAGTCGTGAATTAATCGAGTTTAGTCGAAATTAATTAAGGAGTGCATAGAAAAAAAAAAAGGGAAGTACTTCTGAATAAAAAAGAGAATTGCCAAAGAAGAAAAAAAATAAAAAAGAATTTTTGAATTTCAAGAAAAATGGCTAAAAGGAATTTTATGAATGAAAAAAAGAATTAATTAGAATTATGCAATAACCCATGCCATATGTCTCGTGGAAAGACTGAGGGCCAACTCGGCCGCCCTCAGCCCAGGCCGAAAACTGGGGCAAAAGACCTCATACAGATATTCAGGGCCTGGACGAGAGAGTTGACTTTTGTCAACTGCCTTGACCTCAACAGTCAAAGTCCAAAGGTACCCAGTCCAGGCCGCCGATCAAGCACACACACTTGTTTGTATGCAGGTACCCAGACAGCATAAGGTCCAAGGGGAATGTCTGCTACTGTACGATCCAGGCCTTCGGCTGTGACTCAATCTGGACGACTGAGGGAAGGAGACCCGAGGCCAGAGAGCCTCGCCAAATGCTACTTAAAGACTGGCCTCGAGGTGGTCAGCATTCAGTCTTGCTGTGCTGGTTCAATGCTGGTTTGACTTTAACTTGACGCTGGCATTTTGCTAGCGCTACGCAGGCTAGACGCTGGCTGTGCATCAGAGCTGCGGACGACGACAGGAGGGAGAGGCAGCACGCTGGCATTGTACGCCAGGCATGCTGATGTGGCGCTGCCTGTGGTCTTCATGGCATGCTGACGAGGCTCTGCCTTTGGTATACGTGGTGCTACCTCTGGTCTACGTGGCATGCTGACATGGCGCTGCCTCTGGTATATGTGGCGCTGCTTCTGGTCTACGTGGCGCTGCTATTGGTCTTCATTGATGATGTGGCATTGCCACCTGTCTTGTTTATGACGTGGCATTGTCCACGCTGTCTACATGAGGTGACTGGTTGCGAGGAAGAGGAAGATTAGGACTGTGGAGAGATCGTGAATACATACCTGGTTGTCTTCATGTTGACATTGCTCCGGTGCTGGTGAGGAACTAGTTAGACGTGCCACATGGCACATTGAGGTTACTTCAGATACTCGTTCAGACTGTCGATTATTGAAGTGGTGTTGGAGGAGGGAGCCCGAAGCAGGAGTGGGCATTGCATTTATTTCCTCTCCTTTGTCTAATCTCCCTCCTGTCTCCTTCGTCTGTGTATGATTATCTCGTCTCATTCTGTCTGGACACGATCTTGATTATTGGTAATCATCAGCTGTTGACATTCATCTGGACTTGCATTGTTGATAACTGTCTTCACGATCTGAGTTCATTGCAATTATTTTGAATTTCCAAAAGAAATATTGAAAAACAATTTAATTAATTCTAATGTATTTTCAAAATTTTTGGAAAAGAATTAACCAATTCGAATGAAAAGAATTAATTCTGAAATATTTTCGAATAATAATTAATTAGAATTATTTTCGAAGTTCGAGGAAGAAACAAGTAGTTTCAAAATTTTTGAAAATGAATTAATTAGAAATGTTTTCGAAAAGGAAATGTCGAAAAAGAATTTAACTAATTCTAAAATATTTCAAATTACAAGGATTTCAAAAAAGAATTCATTAAATTTATCATTATTATTATTATTATTATTATTTTTAATTTCGAAGAAGAAATGTCGAGAAAGAATGATTAATTCGACGTATGTTTGAAAATTTCGAAAAAGAAAATATTTGTGAAAAAGAAATGCCGAGAAATGAAGTATTTGCGAATTTACAAGAATTTCAAATGAATTTTGAAAAAAATAAAATAAATAAATAATAATAATAATAATAATCAACAAGGAATAACTGGCTAATGAAGTAAAG